TCTGTCTCTTTTACATCTATGAATCATTATTCTGTCCCTCTCTCGACTTTTGTAACTTTGACGTTCCTCCTCATCTCTGTGAAGCCTGAAGTGTTAACAAAACAAAAGAAAGTATAGAGTGAATCTGTCAACAAAAACGGCAATGACTCAGTTGCCCACCCAATATATCCATTTATCTATATCTATGCGGGTAATAGTCGTAATAACGCAATATTAGCTCTGTGGGACACGTATCGTTTTGTGCGTCATCTTATGTCTGCACGCCAGGATTGGGAGGTGCGATCGTACAACTCTGTGCACAGCGTCGGTACAAACAGTGGCCAATCAGTAGCCTCCGCCATCCTGATCATGATTAAGCTCCCTGCGCGTACACTTTACTCACAATGACCCTACTGAATAAGCGTGTCCCGTGCTACACGTCCGTTTCCTTTACAGCTGGGCTATGACTTAGCTGGTTCTGGGGGTCTAACTAGATGTTGGAGAATCTGCCATAGAGATTTCTGAGTCAGTCAGGCTTTACTAGCGTAGCAATCCGCTACAGCTCTATTTNATCATCAACTTCTGTTTAACCAAATCCCCCATCCTGATCACGAGTAGCTCCATGCGTGTACACTTGATCCGTGCTACACGTCTGTTTCCTTTATAGCTGGGCAATAGCTTAGCTGGTTCGGGGAGTCTAGCTAGATGTTGGAGAATCTGCCATAGAGATTTCTGAGTCAGTCAGGCTTTACTAGCGTAGCAATCCGCTACAGCTCTATTTGAAAATAAAGGAACTAATTTTTAACATTAGAATATCAATCCAAACTTATGACATAAATAAACCTTCCCTTTCAACGCTATACACCTCGGTGTGCTTGAACTTACAGCAATACTTCCGACTTACTCTAGCGAATGAAAGGAGAATGACAAAAAACAAACCTATCAGATCTTCGATGGGCAAAATATTCATCATTTTGAACAGTTAGGCAGATATTAACCAAGGCTTTTGTTAATACGCAAACGCTGCTTGAAATCGGGTACACCTTGTCCGTTTCTTCTGTTGCCTAAATTCAGTATTAAACAATTCATTATTTTTCAACTAAATTGCCAAAAAAGGAGTATTTAAAACCACCAACTTACGCCAATTTTATCAAAAATTAATCGAATTTCAGACAAAATCATATCAACTACTGAAACATCCGATTGACTGAAAGCATTTGAATTGGTAGAAATTTTTCTACCCTTCCGAGAAATTGATGGCGGAAATTTATCCACATTCAAACCGAAACACAGCACATTGGCGACTGGTGAAGTGGCCAACCGTTGAAGGCATTTATCCACAAGGTTCATTAATGAATCTTCCCCTTAAAATACGAAAATAATGAAAGCTGAGGTTTCATTTCATGAGGAAAGTATGACACTTAAAAGATTGCACAACCTACCTGTATTTTCACCTTCCTTTAAGGTGAGAATGAATCCAATAAATAATTTCATGAATATTCTGACAGGCAATGCCCCACTTTTATCTACATCAAAATTGCAAATTTTAATAAAAAAATACTACTAATAGGATTTAAGGAGACTGGTACAAACCTATAGTTGTTCTGTCCTCATCGGAGAAGTTATTAATGGCATACTTTGAAATATTTACGGGGAAAATTTTAGTATAACTCTCTTTATAACATAGAAGAGTTGTCAAGGCGTGGAGGGAATGCAAGAAATAGGCTGATTGAATGCAGTGAGATGTGAAGGAGGCTGTCAGTTTCGTTTGGTGTGAATGCTCTGTCAAATTAGAAACCAATAAAGAGGCAATGTATTTAGATAACACTAGGCCATGAAATACCAATTACTTGATTTGCCCAGAAATACATTCACACAGCTTGTTGCCCACATAGAAATCTGTTTAAATATAAAATTAATAACGTAGAAATAGCATAATCAATACAGTATTTTAAAATCTTACAATTTGTTTATTTTTCTCCAGTTTCTTGAGCATTGGTCGACAACCATAAGCACCCCGCTAAAATAAGCGACATTGAATTTTTATTTTAAAAAAAGAATTTAATAGCAGAACACTTATATTTTTCCCAATACTTTCGCAATTTTAGGTAATATGTAACTTAGTGACCGTTAGTATGGAAACCAATAATGGCTTTGCAATGGTTAGTGATAGACTTACCATCCAGAGCGAAAACCACTGCGCCTTTGGATCCAAAATTGAAATAATATGTAGAGGGGTAAGTCTGTTTTTATCATCTTCTACAGTCACTTCCAGGATCTGAGAATATCCAACTGATAAAAAAGATACACAGCGATCCATCAAGGATTCTGTTAACCTAAAATTGAAAACAATGCTCAAATGATTTCGCTATGAAATCAAATTGATAGTGCAAAACAATGTAGAATTGGACAGATCTGCAAGTATGCAGTTCGTTAAATCGAAATAAAAATGATTGGTCCATAAAGAAACAAAACCAGTGCTCAAAAGTTACTCGCTATCGCTGTCAATGTTTATGAAGGTAACAACGTGATAATTAGCCCAACTACGGTTTGAAATCCATTCCAATCTCTAATTAATTAATGTAACCTCGAAAGTTAAGTATTTAGAGTGATCGTCCCGTTAAACAAGACCTTCCACCGGACCATTAGAATCAAGATGGTCGATCATTCCTAAGTAATACCTCTCAAAATATATTTCAAAAAGGCAAACCACAATGATAGGTGCATTTGACAAAAAATACGGTCTAAAACAATTAAAAATGCTGATGCTCTCGCCTACCAAAAATCATATTTTAAATAAACCACAAACGTACTTTTCAGAATATCGTAGCCAAGAGTTGGGTAGTTTCTTATGAAATTCATGTAAAAGAAGAAACTAAACAAAGTAAAGAAAAGTCATTGACATTGAAAAGGAAACGGTTATGTCTCGGTGTCAACAACATTTCAACTCACAGCTCTCATAATTCGCGTCATTTTTGGATCATTAATATCCAAACCATTTGATATAAATGGTATATTGAGCGAATTTGAGGTAAATTGTCCCTCCAAATAGTCAGCTTAGAAAAAATACAGTTACATATCAAATAAGACAAGCCTTTAATTTCTCGATATTGTATTTAAGTAACTACCCAGTAAAATGTAGCATTCCTCGATATTTGTTGATGAAGACGAAAATGCCTTTGAAATAAATTTCAATGACAATGACTGAAATTTAAAAAATAATATATTTTCATTTGTACCTATTTAGTAAAGACATGAAAATAAACGGAACATTTACATGTAATTCAATATCATCATCTACGAGTGCATCGAAAAGTCCTTGCCGAATACCGTAGACCGATGAATTTTCACCTGAAGAGTGTTTCCTTGTACCCAATCGAATTAGTCCATCAGATGTCGGATTTTCAGCAACTGGAGTCTCCGGAAAAGCCGTCCAGGCATCACAAATTCGCGTTTCGATGGATGGCATGCCAATAAGTTGTTTTAGAAGTTCTCGTCTTTTAAAAGGGCTACTGACGCGGGGATTAAGTGAATGAGCCATCTCCGTAAGATAATTGCTATTTAGGCATAAAATGTCCGGATCCTGCTGTAAAAATAACAGATATATAATGCTGATTAACTTGAAGTTAAATAATAAAACCTGAGTTATTGTTGAGCTGAATGATGATCCAAGTTCGCTAAGAAGCGGTTTGTGGTGATCAGTTTCCAAATCCGTGATGGAAGATGTCTGCGTTTGAATTTTTGAGGTTTCATCTTCGTCATCAGAAGCATTGACTTTACGTATCCGTGCATTAGATAGAAGATCAAGTAACAATTTTTCGCGAAAGTTTTGAAATCTATGTTGGGGAAGAGATAAGAATTGCAGAAAAAAATTAAACAAGAATATCAGCATTTTGGTAAACGCAAATAAGATTTAAACATATTTAAGCTAAGTTTACTCCGGTGATGCAGTTATTTTCTTCAAATCCACAGTGGAATTTGCCACGAACCCTGAATGATCGAGATATTCATCAACCCTTTCTTTAATGAATTCTTTCAAAATCGGATCTTGTTGCATGCTTTTGCTAGAAATATAAAATTAATATATTATAATTTATAATCTATAATATAATAAATAAATATATATTGATTTATTAGCCAAAGTCTTCAAGCTTTTTAATTGCGTTATAAGATTAATATAAATAAATCATAAATATATAGACATTTATTTTAAATCCGATTTTTGCATTTTATTAAAAATGTGCTAAAATTGAAGTGACTAAAAATATGTAACAATTTTGAACACCATTTTAAGTAACAAACAAACTTTTGAGCATAATTAAATTGGTTGATCAAAACAATCCAGGTCAATGCCAATTTGCTAAAACCGACATCAAAATTTTGAAGTTTTCTAAATCCATGTATATTAAGGAGCTTCATTAAACTAAGGTTCATGCGATTTTAATTGAATAAAATATACTTCATTAAATGTCCACATACTTTTGACTGGCGTTATGATTATGTAACAAGTATGCCTCTTTAAGCATAACAAAACCGTTATTTCTGCTATACAGAACTTTTACAGAAACGCAGTTAGGTTTCTATGAGTATATGATGTATTTATTTTTCGATTAATTGGTTTTGCTGTGATACTTTTAATACTCGTTATTAAACGAAGCATACAATCGTTGTTCCTTGTAATCGATAACTGATTCTATTTGCTAGCTTAAATTGAGCTTTAAATATATTTATATTTTAAGATGTGTGAAATACTTTTTTACGAAATTGATTGAGAAACATGTTGATATTGCTCATTTTTCCTGTTTGCTTTAAAGACTGAACAATTTCTTGTGTTAATATATAAACGTGTAACTTAAAATAACTTATATATTCTTACGCATTCTTGATGCTGGAGTGCCTGGTTTAATTCAGTTGTCTTTATTTTGGCTGATTTTTGTGGTTTGGACTGAGTTAATAGAATGTCTGACCCCCCCCCCCCATTTCAATCTAAAATATTATTTTGGATTTTCAAGTACATATCAAATAACATTTGTGTAGGTGTTGACCGAATATTTATTAGTTTGGAAACCATTTTCCAAAGTATAATGAAGCTAAAAGGGTTAATTTTATATGAGCACCTTTAGGTACCTAATTTCTAGTAATTTTCGGCATATGTCGTCATAAGTATCAAACCAGTAACTTATATTTCAAAGTTGTTCCCCTCCAAAGCGCTTTTTTGTAATTTAGTTGAAAAAATTTTAATCCTGTGATTTCAATCACTTATCTAAACCTGAGCAATTAGGGCCGAATAACCCAACATACAGCTGCCTATCTTCTGTCTTCACATGCGGCACTCATCTAATATTTCCAATGTGTACATTACTCACTCGTGTATGCACCAATCGAAATGTGGTCAATGCTTACGTTGCTGCGGCATTTATTAATATATCCCTCTCTGCCTTCAGATAATCCTGTCAATAAAGCATACATCCTTCTCATCTTTCTTATTAATAATAACTAAACAAATAGCTGACTGAATTTTGTCAGATGGGGACCTAACTTTTTTGGATACTTAATGAAAATTGTTTCCAAAATTTGTTTTATGATTTGCCTTAACCACATAACGTTAAACAAAAACTCAGGGAATTTCAAATGTAGAAATAGGATCTAAATGCATTTCGTTACATCGATAGTCTTTTGTTAAATACACTGATGCAAATAGGAGGTTAAAGTCAAATGCGTGGCAGAGAAAGGGAAAATAAGAGAAAATCTAAAACCGCCAAGAAGAGCAATGTAGGGAATACACAACAGATTGGCATCGACAGACAGTAGCAAGTAAGCACACATACAAAACTGACGAACATACAGACAAAGGGGATAAGAGTAAGTCATCTATTTCAATCATTCTATATATTGAGGTGAGTGTTTGAGTGTTTCTTAGAGGGGGAGGAGAGAGATCTAGGAGTTGTGTGATTTATGTTTAGGTAGGAGTTGATTTTACATAAAGAAGAATGTAATCTGAATTGCTAAACAAACTGTCATAAGAGTTAACGCAAATTGATGATTTGCCGACCCTTGATAAAAAGCAGAAGTCATTGCATCTGAGGCTCTATAGATTGATGAAACCCATGGTGAGGTGCCAAATCGATTAACAGTTGCCACAGCAACCTCTAGATCGGCCTGAGGATCTTTTACCTCGACATCGCACTGAATTTCAACATCTCCGGACCATTTGATTGGCGGCTGTTGTTGAGACAAGTGAGATGGACGATAGTCAACTGGCTCCTTGTCCTGATTCTGCATACATATGTTAGTATCTGACCAATTGCCATAGCCAAAGAGATGCTCTGAACCTCTACGGTACGAAGCATGGCCCAATTCTTGTACCGCAGGACGATAGCGAATTAGAATGTTACTGAGTTCAGCTCGACCTCCATTTTCATAGGGGCATGGGTCGTCGAGAAATACAGAGATTCGTAAGTGACTCGCGGTTGGAACAAGAAACACAAAATGCTAAAATGAATGGGAAAACGCAAAGATTATTAAAAATAATCCATCAAAGGAACCCAGCCTTTATGAATGGATTGACGTTCCTTCTTCTTCTGTAGTGTTACACCCCATCTGCTAATTTAATATCGATTGCACGTACGATAACTATTCATTTGCACTCCCATATTAATCCTAATAGAGTCAGGTGCTTGACTGGGCTAAAATTAGCCAAAATTTTACTCCAACAGTCGATCACCTTATTACATGCCCTGACAATAATCACAACCACATTTGTTGTCAAGTCTCCTTTAAAATCGCACGAGCCTAGACACCTAGATCAAAGACGGCAAATGAGTTAGGAAAAATATGCGGCGAAGAGGTGTTATAGTGGCATGGTAAACGAAAATATTTTACTTTACATAGCCATTTCTATAAATACAAATTTACCCAATTAACAATTTAATTGTATATGAAATAGTGGTTTCATTGCTTATTTTTCGCTCGGAATATCTGCTTACCGTTGGTTTACTAGGTGCCGTGAGCGGAGTGGTTGCAGTGATAAATTGAAGAGTAGTAGTGAGATGAAATTGATTGGCTGACGACCATTCGAAAGTGTAATTCGTGTCAGGAAGGAGATTGGTTAGCGGAATTATGGAAAGCATATCGCGTTCTGATTTGCTCTGACGTTTCAGTAAGTAATCTATTTGAGATCCTTGATCATCAGGATGAAGTAGGGCTTGCTGTATTTCTTCTTCATCTCCATCCACGGTTTTTTCTGAAATAGGCTGACCGTTTTTGTCCAGAATTATACTCTTGCTGGCGAGATTAGAGGCTGAGTGAAATTCCTGAATGAAATGATTTTTGAAAATAAAATTGAACCGTTTTGACTTTGAAAGAAGTTTACAGTTGGCTCATGAATACCAAATGTAGTTAATTCAATTGGACAAGGTAGAATAATTGCCATATCGAAACCACGAACAGGACGCAAAAAGCAAAATCATTGCGACAGAGGATTTCAGCTTTGTAAAGTATCAAATTATTCAGACTTTTAATTGTTAATTCTGAAATTTCATAACTTTTATATGAAGTATTTGGGATTATTAAAGTAGTTTGAAATCAAGAGCGGAGTTCTTTTGGGAACCAACGTGTACTGGGTTCAGTTTTTATGTTAATGTACCTAATCTTACTTGCTTGAAAGAAGAGAAAAGCGTGCATCGGGAACTGCAAAAGGTTAAAAGGTTAAGTGACCTCAACTATAATATCAGGGTCTGTTTAAAGTGTTCATAAATTTTGAACTAGTGAATCCTTTTAGTTAAGAAGCTTTTGAAGGGTACGAATCGGTCAGAGGATGCATGGCTTCCAAGCTCTAGTACATTGAACCAAGGGACCTGTAAGATAAACCCATTTCTAAAGTATTTTAATGAGGGGTATTGCATTTACCTAAAAGCACGTCTCGAAGTATTCCCATTGGTATCATTTGACATAAAAGGAATTTACATGAAACAATCCAATAAACATACTGAATTCATCTTTGAAATATTCTACACAGTCTCGATTCAACAATTCCTGCGTGAGATACAATAATTGTCGAGGTCGCAATAATTAAACCTGAGTAAACTTCCATGTTCGATTGGGGGGTGTGCGATAGACTTGCCTCCACGTGGTCCACTCTGAGCAACGTATACTCATACGGTAAAAAGTCTATTAATCGGCAGTTGACTTCTGACTTCAAACTACCCTCACCTCATTGTATGTCATATTCGACTACTTCCACAGTACTCAACTCACTTTTTCTCTGCCTTTGTGTCTGTCTGTCTGTCTCTTTTACATCTATGAAACTCTCTTCTGTTCCCCCTCTCCCTCTCGACTTGTTTCACTTTGATGTTCCTCCTCCTCTGTGAAGCCTGAAGTCAACTAAAGGGCTAATGATAACTTTCACAACGCCTGCCATTTGATATAAAAAATGTTCAATTGGAATAGAAAGCCTTT